GACGAATCCGACGAATCCTCGGGCCTGGGGGAAGATTTAAAGATTTGTCGTCCCAGTTCCGTGAAAGTCTGGACGGTTCCCGCCAGCACGATGGGATGGGATCTCAACAGCTTGCTGCAGCACGATTGGATGATTTGGACCTCTCAACATCACAGAGCCTGGCTGCCTGAACCTGCATGTCACCGGTCACTGGTCACACTGCAGGTTCGGCAGCAACGTGCCGACAGAGGCCTTGGAAGAAGGGGAATCACGGTCTATGCAGTTTGGTGTCCAAGGGGATATACATCTTATACTTATTGAGTCTGATCTTGGTGTATCTTATTCATCTTGCAAAGATACAACTATAGGCTGTTGTTGTCCCAGATGTCCACCCAGTGGCTCGTTCGCTTCAAACCGATGGTCGTTCGAACCTTCGTGGCGCCGACGGCGTCTCCGGCGTCTCCGGCGTCTCCGGACCCTGAGATCGCAGTGTGGCACCAGACCGGTTTTGGGCAGTTCTGCCCCCCGTTTTTAGATCTGGTGGACGACCGGGAATGGCTGAAAACACGTGACCACGCGGTTACAGGTAGTGGGGAATCAGGATCATGTCTCTTTGCCTCCCTGAACGTCCTGTAAAGAAAACATCACTTAGTTGTGCTCCAACGTTGGGGCCGCAGATCGTCTGCGTCACCCGTGACCTCAAACGGCCGGATCCCAAACGGTGGCCCGATGCTTCCCGTCCGGGCACCACAGATCCGAAAGCCTGAGACGGAGCGCTACAACACCCATCAGCTCGAGGCCGACCGTTGAGCGCGTTCGATCTGCAGCTCCATCCCGGTTCTTTTTTACGGTGCCTCCGGCCGTCTTTTGGTTGCTTGAAGAATCGGAAAAGAGCTTGGAGGTTTTTTCGAACGGCATCGTCGCGGGACCCAATCCGCATCGGCACGTTTGGCCAAGTCTTCACAAAATTCTTCGGATTTGGCCAGCTGTGAATTCTGGAAGATGGGGATTCCTATCTTCACCGAGGATGGGAATTCTGCGTCGATTCATCGCCGCGTCGCACCTGTGCGTCTGGCACCGAGGCGGCCCTGCGGCGCCGAAGCTTGCCGTGGCACGGCGACGGTGGGAGCGGGAGAGTGGGACGCGTGGGATCGGAGCGGCGAGTTGTGTTTCGATAAAACGGTCACCTTGAAGTTATAGTAACATGGTCGACTAAGTCTAAAGGACATCGAAATGAAAGGATCACGTATGATATGACATTGTACAATCGGATAATATATATATATATAGATATTGGCATGCACATACATAATTACAGGTGTGAGGCACATGCACATACATTGATGTTGTGAATGGTCCAGGACTGCCCGGTGATGCGAAGGCGGCTGCAGTTTCAATTCGCATAAATCGAGGGACCATGCTTGCATACAGACCTGCCTTCCATGATAACAGATGTTTCGGAAAGACACCCCAACAGACCTGCTGCTGAAAGCCTCTGTTTCAACAGTGACGAGACGTACCCAGAACATGCATAATTAAATGAATTAAACTAATCCAGGTGTGAACCTGCACTTGTTTTCGTCTTCGTGTGCGCCCCTATGATCGTCGGAAAGCATGCTCCCCCCCAAACACCTCCCCTAACGTTTCGCTCGGCAGAGGATCTCCTCGTTTCGCTTCCCCGCAGTCCTTGTCCATTCGGCCCCACCCAAAGCGTGGGGCCGCGGTGGGTGTGGTGGGTGCTCCAGTCCGGAGACGCGAAGCGGCGTCCAGCGGCGTCCAGCGGTGTTGAGACGCAGCCGATGACACAACGCGCGGCACCGTCGAGACGCGCCGATACCGATTACGCAACGATCCAGGCTGGGAAGTGCTCGAGAAGCGCCTTCAGACGCGTCTCGGCATTCTCGGCGTCTGGGAAAGAGACAGGGGACCTGTCGTTCTGGTGTCTAGAGAAGTGGGGCCAGAGAAGTGGCGTTCTCCGTCTTCTAGGTGTCAAGTTTGATTCGATTTCTGGGGTTGTAGGGTATGGCATATGTGATCATCTGTGTCACAAAGAACCTCCCAAACCCTCCATGACAGGCAAGACGCCCGATTTCCAAGCCAAAAGCGTTCGGCGACATCAAGGAGGTCCAAAATCGGAGACTTTTGCATCGTTTGCACATAAAGATTTGAGAACAAGTGCTCTGAAATTGAACCAAACTCTTGCGCGCGGTTTCTGCGCGCGGTGTCTAACACGGTGTGTCTGTGTGCGTGTGTGAATGTATGCCAGTGGTTGGAAGTTGACGTGCTTTCGGGGTACGATGAGTCCAACGATCGGATAGGTGCCGACGGGGAAGTCGTTCCAACTTCTGGACGGAACGACCCCCGGGTCGCATGAAGCACAACGTTGGTCCTTTCTGGGGCGGAGTGCTGGACAGTTCAGTTCGGGCAGAGTGGCGCAGACTGGACTTGGGTCAGAACGCAAGGGTCATAGGACTGAGTCTATTTGCAAGTGACCCTGACTTGAAACCAAGAGTTCAAGAGCCACTTCTATATTGGAAAGGCGCCAGTTCTAAGTAGACTTCCCTATATCAAATCAAACGTTTAAAGATTGGCTGGGCTGGGCGTGGCGTTTGTGAGGTCCATTGTTGCGGAGCAAGCGATCTATGACGCGGGATTCTTGTGGAACACTGCTGGGGGTGCTCAGTGGGGGTCGGGGCAGAGGCTTCCGAGCTTGACACCACAACTGGGGGGGGGTTCCCACTGCATTCCACTCCTGTTTTTCATACAAATTGTAGAGTCGACATAAGGAGAGGAAAAAAGTGAAACGGGGGCATGTAGAATTAGCACTTTGGTACGGCAAACGGCTTGGCATAAGAGCCAGCGCTCCAGTATTTTGGGGTGCTGGCGATGCGGCTGTTCAACCCGCCTCGATTTGATGCAGTTTCCCAAGCGTAGCTTGAGACGTCTCCAGCAGCTTGGGGTAGGTGCGGGCAGAAACATCTTGGCACAAATGCATCGCCGCGGTCACTGAGGTGGAAAGTTTCCTGGGGACGGATCGCAAGGCACGGGTCGTGAACACGACCTGGACCGCGTGGACCGTTCAAACGCGCAAACATCGCGTTCGGCGATGTTTTCGGGTCCGATGTGTTCGAACAGATCGCCTGTGGTTATCACCCAACCTGAGGGGACGCTTGAACTTCATCCACCTTAGGTTTGGAATAAATGAATGCTACCACTTGTTTGTGATGATCGGACATCTTCCTTCTCTGATTCTCTGTCTCTATTTCTATCTCTTGGTAGCAAAAAATCGAAAGGAATGCGATCGAACCTTCATGAACAAACTATAACTCCTGGTTCTTCAAAGTGACCTTTTGATAACCTGGTTTGAGGTCACTTAAGCCTCCTAAGGGTCACTTAGGAACCTTCAAAAGGTCACTTTGAAGAAGCTGGCTGTCAAAATGTCTATCTTACTTTGGTGTGTTCATGAAGGGTACTGACTCTCACGAAAGCTTTCATGTCTGACAAACGGCTATAAAAGATTATAAAAGCAGGTCAGAGTGCCTATACTAGGGAAATCTGGCCTCCTGGTTGACGATTTTGTGGGATTGTTTACATCACCACTACTGAGACACTTACCAACGCAGTGGTTTTTGCCCCCCCTCCCAAGCCTGTCGAAGCCAGGATCTGGGTCACGCTCCGTCAACGTGAAGCAACGGCCCAGGCCCAGCTGGCAGATGCCTTAGATGTGGCCTCCAGCGCGGCGGAGACGCTCTCAGGCTCGACGGAGACGGGGCTGAGTTCATGACAACTTGGTAGAGATGGGCGCCCGATATTGATGAATATGGGATACATCAGGATAAAATGCAACATTTTGCCAAATAGAATTCTTTTGCTCAAGACCCTGAGGATTTGGGGTAATTTCGCTTGATCTGGATCATGATTTCCGATCAGACTGATTCAACCCAGGAAAAAAACCATCACACTGACAGCCGATCCCACGCTTCCATCCAATGTCGAGAACCCCGCTTGGTTTTTGAAGTGCATCGTCTTCCCGTTGAGCCTAGAAAAGCGGAACGGGAGGCACTTTCTTCAGCACTTTTTGAAAAATAATTCGCCTCAGCACTTGCAAGTGGGTTGCCAAAGGCATCAGCTAAGGGTTGGCGTAGAGAATCTAGACTCAAATCACCAAAAACAATCTATACAGGCCTCTTAATTCACACAGAAGTCCCATGATAGGGCTTCCCTTCACCTTGCAACACCCCCAACAATTAAATACATGAAAAAGAGACAATCAATCTATATATACCTACAGACTCTGGCCGTCTGGCACCCCCCAGCCAGCCCAGACGTCTGAGACTTCCAAGATCTCTGAACAGTCGCGGTTCTTTGCTTTAAAGACTGCCGCTTTTCTGTCCGAAACACATGCAAATGTACTGCCAAAAGGGGAAGCCAAGAAGCATTTGTGGTGAATGCCTCTACCATTTTTGAGGTATTTTTGTGTGACTGTTAAGTACACTTATGATGTTGTTATGTTTTAAGAACATACTGTTTCAGGAAACCAAGAACCTTGACCCATTGGTTTGTCAAAAGTCCTATACACAGTACTTTAATTTCAGTTACTTGTTTTACTCAAACAGTTGCTCTTCTCTTCTTAGATTCTTGGACATGTTTTTGCAGAGCATAGACATTTTAGACACAGACTTTAGAAGTACGAACAACATGGAACAACATGGAAAAAAACGATGAAACACTTTTGCCATATGAATAGGCATATGAAGATCGACCATCCATTTTATACAATCAGAATCGATCCAAGATGACAATTCCAGAACAGAGAATAGCAGTGTACGTCCAACAGAATTCCAGAAGAGTGCAGTTCCACGGTTCACTTCCACAGCCGACTCAAGAGAATTCTGGAGCCCTCTGATCTTGGAAGGTCTTCCGACCTGGTCTGGTCTCGCAGTGGCCAGACCAGACACGACGACCCTCGAGGTCCTGCATTTTCGGCAGGTGACCTGTTCGGCGCCCTGGGCGCTGGCTTCATGTCTGGGGCCACGGAGGCCGGGCGACGAGGGCCCCCAGTTTGCTTCAGTTTGCACAGCATGACCGAGTGGAGGTGAGATGTTTTCAAGTATCATAGTAATATATATATATATACCCTGGGAGTCAAAGACTATCAAAAGAATTGTCTTTAGGGGACCCGAACAAGAATATGCGTTACTTCAGTGGGGCAAAATATAGTCTTTGGACTTCTAGGGTATATATATATATATGCACCTTTACAGCCAATACCCGAAGAAAACATAGGGTTCTCCAAAATACCCGGGGTTTTCACTGTTCATTTTACAAGAATACCCGGGGTTTGTCCGCATACCCGAGGAAAAGTTAGGGTCCCGGCTGGCAGGGTATATATTAAATACATACATCAATCTCTTGCAATACAAATTCTTCATCAAGGACCATGGCATTATGGGTCCCGTGCGGCATTTTCCCCACCTTTTGACCTGGGGTCGGCCTCTTTTTGGTGTCTAACTGTCTAACATCGCCCCAAACACGTCGGCCGATGCTTGGGTCAAAGCGGCCGGTCGGCCGCTTGGCCTCCGGTGCTCCGGTGCCCTCCGGTCCGAGGAGACGTCGTGTCGTCCTTTCCACATGGGTTGTGTTTCTTCCTTTTCTGGAACAGCGCAAAACATGATTGGGGAGGCGAGGTTGCCTGCCGGAGGTACCCAGCGCCTCCTTGTGGCTGTCCCCAAGACCGCGAAAGACCATGCTCAGAAGTAAGTGCTTGCGCTTGTGGTTCATTTCTTTCGTTGTTCGGTTGGAAGGCAGTGAAAAAGAGTCAGACAACCATACACGATTGGCTTCCTGTTGTTTCTGGCCATCCACAGGTAGAATCATATTGAAGTAATTAGTGCTGGCGACCAAACCATGACCATTTTTCTATTGGTGCACAACTCTTTCCACATTGGTTCTCTTTCATTCTAGGAGGCAATTCGCTTTCTCAGGTTCACTTTCTCACGCTTCAAGGTCCAAAGCCTGGATCTCTCCCAGTTCGCTTCTCCACTTTTCATCCGACCTCACCCCAGTTGGCCTAGTGGCCTAGTAGTGATGTCAGGAGCTACTGTATAGCTTCCTGCTACTATACTAGTTAGTAGTCCGGCACCCTCATCTACCTATGCCAAACCGATGCCATGCCATGCCCCACGGTCTTTCCGTTGGGCGGGTGGAAATCTCTCCGACCGCACCGCAGATCGCGGGGGTCGGGGAGCTCCTGAAGGGCGACTGGCGCGGCGCCATGGAGAAGCGGAAGGAAGTCTGGAAGGACCGTCGGGTCGAAAGTGATGTCGGGCGACTGGGAAAGTGATGTCGGGCGACTGGGACGGTCCTGTCGGGGGACGGTCGACGGTCCGGTCGAGATGTGACTGGACTGTGACTCGACTAGAGTGACTGAGAGTGTGACTGAGAGTGACTAAGAGTGACTTGAGAGTGACTGAGAGTGTGACTGTGGTGTGGTGGTCGCTTTTTTTTGAGGGAGGGTGAGGGTTGTGGTGTGGTGCCATCGAAAGGAGAAGTGGGAAGGAATGATGTTGGGGATGAGGTCCTGCAAGAGTTATAGTTATAGCATGTTATAGCATGGAGGTGTTGACAGAAATTGGTTCATTTTCTTCTGGGCCAATGGCTAGTGGAGCTGTGAAGAACAACCGGTCTGGTATGAAGGAGTCAAAGCGACTTTCTTGGCCCTCTCCTTGTCGAGGATTGAAGGTTTTAGCGCACCCAAGAGAGATAATTGGATCTCCCACCCATCCCACCGTTGAGGTAGATTACCATTTCTAATCACTTCCGAAGGCAACATGTTCTACCATGGTAATATGTTTCATCCAATTTCATCCAGAACTCACCCCGCCACCGTGGTTGGAAAAACGACGACGCCTTCCTCCGCAGGAGGCGAGCACCGAGGACGGGCGTCTTGTGCTGCAGCAAAAGGCGGACGCCGCGGTGAAGCGAGCCAAGCAACAGGCGCGGACGGTGCCGTGCGGTAGCGGAACGACGTGCGGTGTCACGGGTGACGCGGGTGGAAGGCGTGTTGAACTGAAGGGATTCTTGGGGTCCCGCACGGTTTCGCGCCCACCACTGACACGCCCATTTTCAGGGTGTGTGACTTGGTGTAGCATGATGTATAGCATGATGTATAGCGTATGATAGCAGGGTCATTTGGTAGATTGATGATTGGATCGTTTTCCGTCGCGGCCCATTTTCAGGAGGTCTTTGTCAATGGCACAATTAACCCCCCCTCAAAGAAACCTAGCACGAGGTCGGTCGATCCTGGCATAGCAGCGTTTTGCAGCTGGTCCTGTTCCGCTCACGGAGAACCCCTCGGGTTTTTGGAAGTTTCTTGTGTGACTTCACGTGAAGTGAAGTGAAAATCACGGATCTCAATTGAGCATTCGCGCACTGAGATCTTCTAGAACATTCCAGCTTGTTCGGTTTTCCAGAAGTGATCGTGCAAATGCCACCCCCTCAAATTGAACAAAACCTCCTTGGGTATCCTGGAGGAACCACAGGAAACATCCCACTGCTTTAGACCTCAGCTTGGCTTGGACCTTTCTCTTAGAGGTTTGGCCTCTGCGGGTCAGGTCGGAGTCGTGGAGTCAGGTTGGCGTTCGGAGTCTGCGTGGTGACCAGACGGCTGGTGGGTCGAGTCGGGGAGCGAGACCCTTGCAGCTTGGGACATCCAGCTTCTTCAAAGTGACCTTTTGAGGGTTCCTAAGTGACCAGGATGAGCCAGGATGAGCCAGGTTCCTATTCTCAGTGACCCTTGAAGGCCACGAAAGAAGAAGAACCAGGATGAGGAAGGGGCGATCCCTTTCGGTCGACCGAAAATCCTTGTCCGAGTGCAGAGGGTGGTCCACCAAAAGCGGCCAAAAAGCAGCAGATGCAACAGCTAAAGGCTGCTGGGGGTCCGTCTTCCTCCGGTGCAACCCACCGGGCACCCTTTCGGCACCTTCCGAGCCTTCGTCCGTCACCTTCCGAGCCCGTCGCGTCCCGTCCGTGTGCCATGGCACCTTCCGTCCTTCGGTGGCGCGAACGGCCGAACGGCGCCTTTCTAGGCCATGATTCGCCTGGCACATGGCATGGAGCTGATGCAGGGCACCTAGGTCTCGCCTTCGGCTTCCGAGGTGTCGCCTTCGGATTCAGGCGGGGCCCGGCACCGGCACCGGTCCGTGCGGCTGCTAGGTCCGTGCGCAAAGGCGCTTGGAAGATGCTGCAACAAGCCATCGAAGATGAAGGACCACGGGGTTTAGGGTGGTTTTCGAAAAAGGGCGCGATGTGGTGTTTGTCCTAAACCTTCCCATCGAGAGAGTGGGGTCAAGTCGGTTTGGGGTGGTTTTTTAGGCCGGGCGCGATGTGTTTGTCCTAAACCTTCCCATGGAGAGAGTGGGGTGATCTCGTCGGCGGGCAGTTTTTCTCTGCCCAAGACAACGTCTTTTCGAGATACAAGAACAAGGCAGGTTTATATACAAGCCTGCCGGATTCCGAATGGTTTAAGACCCAACTTCGTGTTTGAGAGGCTCAACCTCCGAGACCAATAGTTGGTCGATAGTCTCATTGCTGGTGCCATGACCGACGTGGCTTGGCAGGATGACCAAATCGATCAAGACCATTTATCAATGATCATGACCCTGTGAAAGTCGATACGGTAGGATTGAATTGGTAGGATTTGGATGGCTCACACTTACACAATCATCACAACCACATATAGTGGTCCACAAATGGATAGACATCGAAACTGTTTCCAATACGTTTTGACAGGACTTTGCTTTTCTATTTGTTTGGGGGTCTGTAAAAATCCTCCCATTGTGATCACTGCCATGTGATTGTCCGTAGACGTCCGTATAGACGTCCGGCGTCCATTCCGTGCGCGGGCGGAAGCGAGCGACTGGCCTGGCGGGCGGAATGTATCGCGACGTATCTCGGAGGGTCGGAATGGTTTGAGGTGCCTAATGGGGAGACCCTCTCCACTTAGGAAGCATACATACATGTCACATGACTCATTGACAAGTGGTTTAAAGTTTTTATGTAGTCCAGACTGGTGACCCCAAATATATAGATGGCCTTGATACTTGGTACGACTAGCACTCAAGTATATATAACTTACACAATATGTGTACATCAGAAGGTGACCTTAGGGCCTTAGGGCTCATGGTGCGTCTCATACTACAGAGGCATACAGAGGCTCCTCCACCTGCCTCCAATGAAGAAAGTACACCCAGGTCCTCGTAGCTGCCAGGTCCTCCTCATCCAAGGGGATCATGGCCTTCCTCTGTGGTACTTGTCAGGGTGTGTCTTTCGTTCGGCCCCATGTGTGGTGCACACGTGTGTGCATCCAAATCCACATCATCGGCAGGAGCAGGCGACAGTCCCTCCTTTGAAAGCTACGAGCAGTCCGAGACTGAGAGGAAGCAGAAAGCTGCTGAGACCTAGAATTGGGAAACTCCACTGGCTGGTTGCTTGTTCCTTTGCATGACTTGACCTACCATTTGTTTGAGGGGTGTCAAGAGGGGTGAAGCAAGTTCCACGCGTTCGCAGAACAGGCCGTGAACCGCTGCATGGTCATACAACCAAGTCCTGGCCTACTTGATTCAGCTGGTTTTCATGCTGGTGATAGAGAACTGGTTCCATGATACGACCCAATCTGGTGAACCACCGCGTCTGACGACCAACCGGCGGCCGCCTTCCACGTCTGACTCTGATCGTCACGGGAAGAAAACGGAGGCCGCTCCGTTGGAAGGATCGACGGATGAACACGAACACATCGAACACGCCACGAGATCCGAGCTCAGTTGAGCCCGCTGACTGTGCTCAGTTGGAGGCCGCATCCAAGCAACCAAAAAGATACAAGACGTAGAGAGTCCGACCTATGAAACATCTCATACAGAACCAGAAGCATCCACCATGCAGACCACCCCAATCCTTGGGTTTCTCTCGTTTTTCTTGGTCGAAGCACTGCAGAATGCAAGCATCTTCGCCTGCGAGCGCCATGGGCCATGGGCGACGCGTCCGCTGAGCGGTGTGAGCTTGCCGCGGAAGAGTTGCTGCGGGAGGGCCATGCCGAGGCGGCTGCGCTGAGGTGCGCTTGGTTTCGTGGTGGTCACCGGGTGTCGGGAGCTGTTGCGCACCGAGGCCGAGGGGGGTCACCAGGTGAACTGGCGTAGTTTCGTTTGTTTGTTCTCGCGCCAGGGTGTGAGGCAAGACTGCCTTGCAGGCCCAATGTGTGGCCGTTTTCAAATGGTTGTTGCTTTTGGGAGTGTGCTATTAATTACATGATATTATTAGCTATATTGTCTACTATTGTCATCCCCACCATCATGTTATGGATAACATCATCATGAGGCACATTTATTGCCAGTGTCACCTGGCATCACAACCGACGTTGCGCCAGGTACGAAAGGGCCCTCCAGCTTCGCTTGAAGGCTTGCGAAGCCCCTTCACAGCTGGCTTTAACGGCTGAAGCTTTGGCCAAAGCAAGCAACCATGCCTGTCGCTGGGCTATGATTCCAAGCGTTGAGTTTTTTCCTTGAATGGATCATTAAAAGGATGATCAAAAGGCTGAGGGGTTTTGATGATCTTCCAAGTGCCGCCAGTGGTTTTGGGGTTTCCATGTTGCAGACCCAGTGAGTGTAGGAAGGAACTGTGGGAATCTCCAACCTTAGGACTTCATTCATGTGTTTGCAAGGCAAAGACTTCTCTGCGCCCCAAGCTGAGCGTCAACTTCAAAGAAGTCTTCGGCTACTGGACGAGGTCCTGGATTTACAAGGTGCTCCACATGTGAATTTGCTCTCCTGCATCAACCTCACCTTGGCCAACCTGGCGTCGCTCCACCAGCGCGCGGGGCGTCGCACGATGGCCTTAAAACTGCTGCGAGAAGCTGAAGCCTTGGGTGCATCCATCACACCGGCAGAGGCGGCAGCCACGCAGCTGAGCTTGTGTGCTTTGCTGTCGCAGCTGGGGCGGCATCCGGAGGCAGAGCAGCATGCTGCACAGGCTGTGAGCTTCGCAGAGGCGGTGACTTGATGTTGAATTTGTAAGCTTTTTGGGCTTGCTCCAGAGGTTTTTGGGTCTATGAATCTGTGAGGAAGTCTACCGTAGCATGATGTAACATGCCATAGTCAAATCATGTCAAATTCACTGGGCCGGCCAGAAATAGCTGTGACGTGCGACGTGAGGATGTCTTGCAGCAAGGGACAGGTGGGTCAGTGACTCGGGAGATACTCCGAGAGAAAGCTTCCACCTTGGCAGTGGCCTACAACAACCTGGCAGTGCAGCGAGAATACCTGGGACACGAGGATTGCCTGGCCTTGTACGAGAAGGCCTGGCCTTGTGGGCAAAATCCGATCGCTTTTTCTGCTTTATGGGCTTTGAAGAGCGGTGAGTTGCCCTCCAGAAAATCGACACTTCTATAGTCCATCTCTGAGGCCATTATACTGGCAGAAGGGCATATGGAGAAGGACAATCCCTTGTTGGCGACGCTTCAGGGGTCCCACCGGAACGCCTTGCAGATGCAGGCGGCACAGGGGACTGCTTCCGTCCCGGCACCGTGGTTTCCACCACAGAGCTTGGACTGGCGGTCCAGTCCGACCATTTGTTGGGCGAAGTCGGCAGGCTTCCTTTCAGATCACCTGTCTAGAGACTATGAGACTATTAAAAGCATCGTCAGTTTCGGACTTCCAGGGTAAACATCTCCAAAGTCACCCAACTTGGAGAAAACGGTGCCATCGCCACACATGTCGCACATGTCGGAGGACGGACTCATCCAGGCCAAGCGCTCCCTTGCTATTTCGGACCACATGGAACTCCGAAAACCCCTGGGGATCCCTGGGGGTAAATTCTCAGGTTCCATGTTAGTTTGCGGGGGTGTATATATGTCAATAGGTCTTCATCACCAGTTCGTTGGAGCGTTGGAAGGGAACGTTGGAAGGGAATCGGATCTAACATGGATCTAACTTCCAAGCAAACCTGATGATTGGCCATTCTTTGGCCACAGCTGGATACACACTGTTCGCCCTTGGACACATTGGGGAGACATACCGGGAGGTTCCACCTCACCTTGAAACATCTGGTCTCCTTCCGCACGGTTCCGCTCGGGATGGCCCTAGCCCGCCCTAGCCGGTCCGCCCTAGCTGGTCCACGGTACGGGATCAAAGGAACCGTCCTGCCGGACAGCGGATGTCTGCCTGGATGACCAGAAAGTAAGATATGGCTGGTACACAGACCATGTGTGGAATAGTTAGATAGATACATACACACCTCATGTAGGTGACCCTCATGTAGGCAACTCTCCAGATGGCATGAGATGGCATGAGCGTGGTCTGCCCTTCCGACCAGGTGGAGCGCAAGAGCAAACATCGTCCTTCCTCCAGCACCGTGCGCGCTGCGAAGCCGGAGACGTCGCATCGGCCGCGGTCCGCGGTGGAACCACGGCGGAGGCCACAATCGGCGAGTGTCGGTCGAGGTCTGAGCCGCGCGAGTCGCCAAAGTCAACTGACCAAAGAGCTGCTGAACTTATTGCGACCTGAGCAGCGGGAGATCGTGCTGGCGCGGGCCAAGCAGAAAGATGTAGAGCCCTTGCCGATCGATTGCGAGGACATGTCACTGCTTACAGGACGGAAAGTGTCGTGGTCGCCTTGTGCCAGGCCATGTCATGGCGGGTTGCTGCTGATTGCTTTTAGCTGAGCGATGACCCTTCCAATTCGAAGCTATTAAGTTTTCCATGTTTTTCCAATCTATCCATTGTCCACCGAATGAGTGCAGCCAACATGTTAAAACCATCATTGTTTTAGCAGAGGCGTTTTATTTTTTTTTTTCAGAGGCTCTCACTGTCAACTGAAATCATGGGTGGGAGATTGCCAACACATATGTTGGTTCTTGTGTTGTGGATCTTGTCGTTCGCATCAACCACCTTCGACGGGTCCCTTCTTTTCTTATAGGGACTTCACACGGACAACGCCGTTGTAACGGAGCTTTGTTGCTGGCATCCACAGGAGGCGCGCAGGCCTTCGCAGAAGGTGCATGCTGCAGTGGACCGTGCGAAGGCGGGCGGACGGACATGTTGTCCCTCCTGAGATGCTGTGGACATGGGATGCTGTGGTTCTTGGAACGTGAGGCTCCTCCTGGTTCATGTGGCCATGGGCCGGAAAGTCCATGCTTGTTGGAGGGGCAATGCATCCTATAGTCCAGTTGTGGGTTGCCTGCTTTGGACCTCGAGGCACAGATGAGGGATGGGCGGCAAGCGCTTCAGGCGGATGCCGCAGTGAAGCATGTGAAGCAGGCGAGGAGCAGAGCCTGTGGCAGCCCTGGCCACACTGAGTCCGACTTGAACCACCCAAAACTACTAGCACTTGTGTTAAGTCGTCTGGTCTTGTAGAAAGTCGTCTGGATGCTGCGTTTCCATTGGGGTTAGATGCAACATGGCAATATAACTGGAAGAGCATTAGGTCAACAACATTGTTTGGAT